TGGTGTTGTTGTTTGTGCTGCTGTTGTTGGTGTAAGTGTTGTTGTTGTTTGTGTTGAAGTTGTGGTCGTATCAACAGTGGATGGAGCCATGGAAGTTGTTGCCACGGTGATGGTTGTCGCGGTAACCTCAGCGGTTGTAGTTGGAGGCTCTGTAGAGCGAGCGGTGGTACCGGTGGTGGTGATGGGGTTCGTAGTTCTGGGTCTCAGTGGTTCTAATGTCATTTTAGGGATGACTGAAGACGAACGAACACTGAAGTCAAACATCTTGGGCTGTTTTTATGACATCATACATCTTTGGCTGTTTTTATGACATCATACATCTTTGGCTGTTTTTATGACATCATACATCTTGGGCTGTTTTTATGACATCATACATCTTTAATTATTCAGACTGACAGTTGGAGAGGAACGCCAAGCAGGAGTTTTGATGGAGCTACAGCTGCAAATCTACCTTCAACCCTCCTGCTGTCCTTGGGTCAAACTGACCTTTGAGGCCTCAGGTGTAGAACAGAGAAGCTAATTTGACCCAAGGGCAGCAGGAGGGTTAAAGCTCATATTTATCAAGAAATTACAGACCCTCGTTTTACACATTTTATTTTTAAATCTCTCGTGAAGAAGATGATTTGTGCTGCCAACCAAACCACAGTTTGTTTACAAATAATTAAGATTTAATTAATTTATTTAGAGGAAAACCGCCACAAGTGTCAAAGAGCAGCCGGTTTGAGACAAATCTACAAATCTACAAATCAATGGTCTTAAAGGAAATGATGTGCTCATGGTGTTCAGCTGGAAGAGAAGAGCATTCTTCTCTGAGAGTGCACAGATGTTGTGAAGTGAAGCTGAGCTTTCTGTGAACAGCATGATGACATCAGATGACTTTAGTTTGTGCACTCGTGTGAAGAATAAAGTGTTTTGATGTTTGTGAGCTGGTGCTGTACCTTTGCAGCTGCCGTCTTTACATCTGCACTTTGGAGACGATGGACTGAGAGAGCAGAACCGCCGAGTGTCCTTATCTGTGTAGACATGAAGACCGTCACCGACGTGTCTTTAACACCAAAACTTCAAGTTTGGTTCTGTTTCAGCTACAGAGGAGCCGATGTTCTCAGCAGTAAAATGTTTCATCACAGCTGAAGTAATACGTCCAAAAGTTTTGACCTTCCTGACAAACTAAACACTTAATGTTGATGAATTCACAGTGACGGGATTTAAAACCAGAGCATGAAGCTCAGGATGAAACATTGAACAACCTGCTGTGAATGTTTTGTGCTCTGATAATCATCCTTTCATGCAGGAGTTATGATAAATTCATTTCTACAGTGTTTTGATTTTTCTTAGGGCGTGAAAAAAGGTGAGAAATAAAATAATTTTATTTATTCAAGAATTTTCCCACATGTCCACTCAGCTGGACAGCATTAGAGATTTTTTACTAGCAAACTACTGTGTATACTATAATGTCAACATATTTGGACACTGAATGCATAAACACAGAATTATGATGTCACTCCCTCTCATTCAACCCCATCCATCCTCTTCCTCTTGTTCTGGACTCAGGTCTTGGGGGCAGCATCTTGAGCAGGGAGGTCCAGACCTCTCTCTCCACAGCCTCTTCCAGCTCTTCTGGGAGGACTCAAAGATGTTCCCAGGCCAACTCAGAGACAGTCTCTTCTGATAACTGAACTTCTCACCCTGTCTCTAAGGGAGAGTCCAGCTACCCTGCAGAGGAAACTCATTTCAACCTCCTGGATCCACGATCCCATTTTTTCAGTCTCTACCAGAGTTCATGACCAGAGGTGAGGGGAGGAACGTAGACCGACCAGTAAACAGAGAGCTTTGCCTTACGGCTCAGCTCCCTCTTCACCACAATGGACCGACACAGAGTCCACAATACTGCAGATGCTGCACCAATCCGTTTGTCAGTCTCACGCTCCATTCTTCCCTCACTCATGAACAAAACCCAGAGATACTTGAACTCCTCCACTTCAGGCAGAACCTCGACCTGAAGAGAGCATTCCATCCTTTTCTGGCTGAGGACCATGGCCTCAGATTTGGAGGTGCTGATCCTGATCTCAGCTGCTTCACACTCTGCTGTGAACCGCTCCAGTGAGAGCTGAAGATCACGGCACGATGACGCCAACAGGATCGCATCATCTGCAAAGAGCAGAGATGGACTCCCTCCTCCTCCTGGTTGCACCGAGAAGTTCTGTCCATAAAAGTTATGAACAGAATTGGTGACAACGGGCAGCCCTGGTGGAGTCCAACTCCCACCCTGAAGGGTCAACTTACTAACGGGGGGGGGGGGGGGGGGGGGGGGGCAATAGACAGGTCTTTTTTAGTTTACACATATCCCAGGAGGAGAAAATTGATAAGTCGGCCTGCTTCGAGGCCAAACGGGGGAGTCAGATTCAGATAAGCCACAGTTGTTGATTTTTCTCAGGCAGACTCTTATTTATCATTAGACTTGAGTTCTGCTGGTACTTTTAATCCAACATGGCCAGATTTGGGCATTCCAGTGGTCCATGCTTATTAGCTCCCTCCAAAGTCGTCCCAAACATGCTGGCGAGTCCCAGAAGCCGCAAGTCACCTGCGATTCTCACCAATCGCGTCTATCTTACGGTTTAGCTTGTAAATAAGCTGATTTTGAGTACTCAAAGCACGAACCGAACATGGGGTCGGCAGCTTTATTACGGCCGAAACTGCTGCCGCCATTTTCTTTAATAGCTGATGTGATAACACAGGTATCCGCCAGTGCCAAAAAACAGAAACTCTGCTATCATGATTCCAATATGTTCGGCGTCCTCCTGAGACAATATGAAAAGGCACATCCATGACGTATCCTGCTGCGTGCGTCTCAGCCGGGCGTGAGTGTTCTCCAGGACCCTGTCACTTTGTTGAAAAAATGTTATTGATTGTGTTGAAAGTCCCGCTGACCAGATCCATAACAGTCATTTACATTTTGGAAGATGTGTAAATAGGAGCTCCAATACACACGACAGAGAACAAAAAAGCAGGAGGAGAACGGGAGTGGGAAGAAAAGCACCCATCTTGCACAAGAGTAAGTGAGGAAGAAAAAAAAGGTCCCTGACTCATCTTCCTCCATGGAAGATGTGCCAGTAGGATTGAGAAGGTCCGAGAAGTATTCCTTCCACTTCCCAACAACATAACTGGTTGAGGTTAGGGCTTTAACAGACTACTCGAGTAATCGACAGGTCGATTCTTAGGACATCTATCGAGTTTTAAAATTTCAAGTCAAGTATTCGCGGTGACGTCATTGTGTCACGTGATCCGTACCGGGCTACTAGTAGAAGCTACCAAATGGATTCCTCCCAGCAGACTGATGGAGCGGAGCAGGCCCAGTCTTGGCAAACAGGTAGAAATGCATCAATAGTCTGGAAATATTTCACTAAAGATGAATCTTCCGGTTCAACGACTGTAAGGAAACAGAAAATGAATCAACTTCCTGACTGTTTGGAGCTCGATGTGAACCGGTGTTACACCATATTCTGTGACCACAGTATATTGTGACCGTAGGGGGTGGTGTTGCATGCACTGTTGCAGGTCACAGAATATTGTGTAACACCGGTTCCAATCGACCGAACCAGAACCAGCTTCCTCTGACCTGAGGTGTCCACCACCGTGTTTGAGGATGGCCACTGCGAGAAGCACAGACAACCTTGTGGCCACAGCTCAAGGCAGCTACTTCAACAATTGAGGTGCGGAACATGGCCCACTCGGACTCAATATGCCCCACATCAACTGGGATGTGGTTAAAGCTCTCCTGGAGGTGTGAGTTGAAGATCTTTCTGACAGGCTCTTCTGCCAGGCATTCCCAGCAAACCCTCATTACATGTTTGGGTCTACCGGGTCTGGCTGGCATCTTCCCCCGCCATCTGATCCAACTCACTACCAGGTGGTGATCAGTTGACAGCTCAGGTCCTCTTTTCACCTGAGTGTCCAAAACAAATGGCCGCAAATTAGATGGCATGACTATGAAGTCAATCATCGATCTACGACCTAGGTCATCCTGGTGCCAAGTGTACTTATGGACACCCTTATGTTTGAACATGGTGTTTGTGATGGACAAACTATGACTAGCACAGAAGTCCAACAACAGAACACCGCTCGAGTTCATATCAGAGAGGCTGTTCCTCCCAGTCACGCCCCTCCAAGTCACACTGTCATTACCCACATGGGCATTGAAGTCCCCCAGCAGAATAAAGGAGTCACCAGCTGGTGCACCTTCCATTACCCCACCAAGGACTCCAAGAAGTCCAGATACTCTGAACTGTCGTTTGGTACGTAGGCACAAACAACAGTGACAGCCCGTCCTCCCACCCAAAGGTGCAGAGAAGCCTTTGGGTGGCTGCCTGCCCACGAGCCCCTCTACTGGGAAAAACTTTAACACACAGGCGCCAAGTCGGGGGGATAAGAACAGACCCACACCAGCTCGGCACCTCTCCCCATGGGCAACTCCAAACTGGAAGAAGGTCCAGCTCCTCTCAAGGAGATCAGTTCCAGAGTTCATGCTGTGCGTCGAGGTGAGCCCAACTAGATCTAGTCGGTACCTCGCAACCTCACGCACAAGCTCGGGCTCCTTCCCCGGACATGGGTTACCGGGGCCCCACCCTGGAGCCAGGCCTGCGGGAGGGGCTCATGGGCAGGTGCCTGGTGACTGGGTCTCTACTCATGGGGCCCGTTTGGGCTTAGCTCAAAGGAGCAACATGGGTTTGCCTTCCTGTGGGCCCACCACCTGCAGGCGGGGCCATAGAGTCGTGTGCATGAGTCTATGGACAGTGGCCTAAGGTGGGGGCTTTGGCGCTCTGACCCTGGATTACCAAAGCTGCTCTTGGGACATGGAACGTGACCTCTCTGGTGGGTAAGGGACACGGAGCTCCTTGTTTTATTTTGTTCATAAGAGTCTTCTGAGTCGCTCTTTGTCTGGTCTGTCACCTAGAGACAATCTGCCTTGGGAGACCCTACCAGGAACCATCGCCCCCGACAGCAGAGCTCCTAGGATCATTCAGATGCACAAACTCCTCCACCACCATAAGGTGGCGGTTCAAGAAGAACCCCTTGATCAAACCCTTGATCTCTTTTTTTTTGTCCTCTGAGCTTCTCCTTTTTACCAGTATAATATTTTAGTGGATATTTTTTGACAAAAAACACGTACACATGACACTTCAGCCATTCTGTTAAATGGAAAGTTAGATGTTAAATTCTGGTGTTAGATTGTTTTGATCTGTGTTTCTTTATCTGTCCCTATCAAATAAACAATAAACAATAAATAAAATGTCACTCAGCAGTACAGTCTCTTCAGTTTCAGACATCAATGTTGAAAGTTTATTTTGTATGAAAATTTGCACCCAGGGCACAGAGCCGCAGCACACCTCATGCAGATGTGTTTGGTTTTTCATGTGCAGGCTGGGTCACTGCATCTGTTTGCATTTTTTGCTTCAGTTAGCTGGTCAGTGTTGTCCAGGGCCAAACCTGGTCTCAGGAGGTGCCTTAGACCCTGCTCTGTGTTTAACGAAGGTGGGGTGGCACTGGGTCTTCCTCTTGTCCGTGTCTGGATGGAACCCTCATTTTATCATCACAGAGCTACAGATGCCTTGAAATGTAGAAGATCCATCTTCTCCAACCCAGACATCCTGTACAGGTGCCAGGCATGGACAACAGTCAAGTCCAAGAAGAGAAAAAACACTCCAACGTGGCATGTCCCTCGCCATCTTCATTTCCCTCAGTAATCACAGGTGCCTCATCATCCTCATTTTCACTGTCATTACTGCTAGCATTTGTCTGTTCTTTTTCCGGCAGCCACTCATCATCACCTCCACTAGCTTCATCCTCACTGGAATCAGCAGGCAGTTGCTCTGTTATCTCCTAGGCTTTTCTACGCACTATATCTGAGCTCTACAGAATATAAAAACCTTATTATTACTCAGATAATAGAAACAATGCACTTTTTGTCCTTACAAATTCTTCAAATTATGTATTAAAATGTAAGTCAGTTTATTTACTGGCCGAACACTGGCTGCAGACGGTGCATATTCTAGAACAACAGTCAGAGTAATGGTATGAACTGCTGTTGTTGAACTTGAACTTGCAGTGGATGGCCAGCAGATGGCAGTGTGATTTATGTTGCACTAGTGTCCACCAGTGGTCTTTGTTCAGTAATAACATAAAAACCCATACTTATACAAGAAAATGGCTTTTAAATAGCTGTCCACCGCAGTGACCACATGAAAATATTACGATCTGAGAACTGTATAACTTCCAAATGATTTAAAAAATTTTTTTTTTTTTTTGTAGCTCAAAGTTGAATCCTTCACAAACCTCAGGGTCACCCAGAGGTTCTGCAGGAGGACTAGAGGAATGTAAACACAGGCGATAAGACCCTCGTGGTGCCACTGCAGACACAAAGAGTTCCTTCTCCAGGTTTTCATGTCAGGAAAAATGAAAGGAGTTTTCCACAAGTTTATTGTCTGACACTCAAACCTGTGTCGACATGTTGGTGTATCATGAAGCACCGTGCCATCAAGCACCAACATGT